TGACTGGAGGGGAGCTTTAAAATGACCCAGTGGGATACAGTAGGTAATCTGGCAGACCAACTACTGCAAAGGGAGAACTTGTATCTTGGAGTTCACTGGTTCAATGGGCTGATGTCACTTGTTGCACTGTATAGGCCCCTTTACACTTTAGTACTAGTCCTGTTGGGAATGTTTCTCTGAGTCTTCCTTTCATTTGTAAAAGTGACACATTAAATACTTCCATTTGGCCAGGAATGCTTGTTGCATGTTTTCAAGAGCAGCTGACTCTGTCTGTCTGTTTATTGGTCAGTTTTTTCTGACTGATTGCATTTTTCATTGTTTAGTTCCTCATCCTGACACTCTGTGACAGCAGTAATTGTTGGCTGTTTGTGACACAAAATATCAGAAATCAAACTTTATTGAAAACAGCATGGGTCTTATTTTCTGTAAATTTTGTGGCGATGTGTCCATTTCTGTAGTAAGTGAACATTAACGCTGCAGTAGATAATCTTTCTAAAAATAACTTTTTTGTCATAATTGTGCTGAAACTTTCACCTATATCCTATGACTGTAGTGACATGAGACAGATAATCTGTGGAAAAAAAAACAATCAGAGCCAAGAAAGATAAAAGGATGCTTTGGGTTAGAGGGTATAGCTCAAGAATCAATTATCTTTATTTTGTTTTTTAATTTTTTTTTTACAGATTATCTGTCTCATGTACTACAGTCAGGATATAGTGAATGTTTCAGCAAATATGACAAAGTTATTTTTACAACAGCAATAGTCGTTTTTCTCAATAAAAATGCTGATACTTGAAAACATGTTATATTTTTTGAGTTACAAATGTATAGCTTATCTAAAGCTTTTGTCTTGTTTTTATCAAAAAGTCAATTTGGAATATTATTAAACCAGCTTTTACACTTACACCTTCTCACCCATCCTCCTCATCCCATTACAAGGAGATGAAATGAAGAGTAAAACTCTAAAACAAAGCACCATACTGTCTGCTCTCTCGTTGTTTGTCATCCTCTTCAAATGATGTTGATGACCTCAGTGGAAAATGCTGGTGTCACTGTGTTTCGTGCCCTTTGTGTTCATTTACTGGTCAAAGAGAGAAATGCCTTTGATTGGTGGTGGATTGGTATGTGTTATTAACTTCTTTTGAGTGTTCGTCTCCTTTGTCAGTGAAAGAAAAACTAACAGAAAAAGAAGTGCTGGTTTTAACTGACTCACAGGCTATGATCAGTAATGATCATAGCCAGATTATGCAAGGAATTCAGATTCCATACTTATGCGTAACTGCGTGTGTCCTGTTTCAGATGATACCCCTCCTTTCATATAGACTAGTGTAAACATGTTTGCTACACAGATGTGTCACTGGGTCATTCCCTGGGGAAATTATGAACATATTATCTCATAAAACAAAGTGTAGGGAGAAGCAGGCAACTATTTTCATCAAATTGCCACAAGCTAAATAATTACCACAACACACACAACAGTAAAATAATTTTTCTTGGGAATTGACAAACCTTTCTGTGGCAAATGGCATGAAGTTATCTGTTTGCAGAGACATGAAGTCTTATCTGATAATTTTTTAATCAATGCAAAAGTATTTTTGCTGGTGTCAAGATTAAGAACACTGTGCAGCAGATAGCTGAACCACAGCCAGCAGTCATCAGATGACTCCATGAGTCAGCAGGGTTTTTTCTTACACACCCAGGCGATGACAGGAATGTTTTAAATTTTTTATTATTTAATCTTTTAGTGATGTATTTATAAAATTTATCAATGCATTCATATTTTGTTTAATAATAATATATATTTTTTTACATAAATTCCCAGCTGATTCCTGTCTCTGTGTGATGTCAGCCTGTCAGAGTGGAGTGTGTGCAGGGTGCAGTGCGCGGCTGGTCAGTCAGTGACAGACAGTGTATGGGTGTGACCAGGCCAAGCCAGGCTCCGCTCGATGTCACCGCACAGTCAGTCTGCAGGCTGACATGTGACACACATTTACACACGCACACACAGATACGGACCCGGTGCCCGGCAGCTGCACACTGACCTGCTCTGCTCTGCTCTGCTTCCACAAGCCACACTGAGGCAAGTAAAACACTTTAATCTGAAGATTTCATAGGCAACAGTACATTTGAGGAGTTGCAGTTAATTCGGAGCTTGAATGAGGCTTTATTCATGCTGATAAGAAGACGAGAGTTCAGCATTGAACTGCATAGTGATGCACCCTTTTATAAATCCTGTTTCTTTAGCTCAGAGATCTCTCTTAACTTGCTGATGTTCAGTAATTAGGTCCTCATTAAGGCTATTGTTTCATGGTATGCCATCACACAGAGCCAATTTGGTTTGTTGGTTTGCTTTGTTTATGCTTTTTTGAATTTTGATAATGCTCATCACCAAGGAGGCAGTCAGATAGACAGGCTCCTCTTTAAAGCTGGAAATAAACAGTCACTATTATTTGGCTTCTGCTTAATGTTTGTCTAAGTATTTGTGAATCATGGCACATCGTGAAATTACATAAATCCAGAAGTGAATAAACCATCATAATAATAAGGCAGGAGACTTAAATAGACAAGTTGAATTTCTTGAATAAAGATGCGTAAACTACTATAGGTGGGTAGAATGAGATAAGAGGCTTGACTACAGCTGTGATTCAGGACTTGAAAAGACTGCTCGCTGAGCAAGCTGCATACTCAGCATCACTGGTTTGACATGTATGCCGTGTGAAGGGGATGGCGTGTGAAAGTCCCATGGATGAAAATGAAGCTGCCACTGTTAGGTAGTTGCTAGGACACAGCCCCTGCAGACCCTACTATGTAACCCCATTTACTCACTAAGTGACATGTTGTCAGTTTTTCTCATTTCCTTCTTTTCCTTGGTGGATGTTCAACAATGTGTTGCGGTGCCTGAATGTCTACCCGATGACTGGTAGCACTACTCACTCCACCATCAAAGGATGGTAATTGGCATCACACTCTTTGAGCTGAGATGTTTTCACTCACCATACGTGCTTTTGGTCTCCATCATACTCTCTAATGTATCTAAAGATAATGGAGCCTGAGCAGTGTCAAATATGCAGTCTTTTTTCATCAGCACGCCCTGCTACTCATACTGATATTAAGGAGTCTAGGGCACCATGTCCTGTATTTAGGGCATCCCCAGTTCTGGGGTAATCTTGCTTAGTTCCATTTGTCCATGCGTCCTCTCTCTGAACTCAATATTGCTCCAGCCAATCTTTCAGTATTTTGTTTCATGCTCTTCCTGATGCTATAGGTAGGCCACCGCCATTCTCCCCTAGCATATAGCCCCTAAGGGTATCAGCAATAAAGTCCTATTCATATTAGTCACCAACCTGCTCCACCCTACCATATCGCACCTAACCATGCAGCATCTGCTGTTGAATGTCAGATCTGCTCTTGTGCCTTACCTTGACCTACCGATTGCCTCATCATACCACATTCCACAGCCTACGTTAGCTATTATTGACAGCTCCTTGCACTCCTCAAGATGGCTCTTGACGACCTCATGAGCAACCACAAGCACCTAAATGAGCAGGCAGTACAAATATCAGGTGTTACTGGGCCACCTAAAGCACTTGAGTGCATTCAAATTTGCTGCTTTCACTGATTGAAAGTGGATCCAGGAGCACAAACAGTGCTGGCACTGTATAGATTGCCATGTACGGGTTTCTTGCACCCTGAGGAAACCTTGCAACACCTGCAAGGGACATCTGACAGTCCTACATGATGTTGCACAGCAGCCAAATCAGAGCATTCTCATGGTCCAAGCTCCATCCTGAAGTTCCCAACTTGCCAACAGTCTGTGTCTAATGTTATAAAACACCATTTTACTCAACTGGAGCTGACTGCTTTGGGCCCTATACTCTATCATTCGGGCTGGATGTCATCACAAGATGCGCTGGAGGATTCTATACAAGCGTCTCATCACACCTTGTGTTTATTTGGATCTGTTGAATGGCAGATGTGCTGATGCATTACTCATGACCCTTAGACGTGGTAAAGGTAAAGGCTGTGAAAGTTGAACGGCGACTAGTTTTGGAGAGTGGTCACAGAAGCCATTCTATGTGCAGTTCTAATTTAGGTGGAATGTGTGCTCAATTTGAAGCTGCTGGGATATGTGTCATTTGACATGACAGAACCAGATCCAATCTAATATACTGATGGGCCATTGTGATGCATTACTTCTGCAGGACACATATACTGCAAGTGATGCACTTGGAAGCTGAAGATGGAGGCAGAGTCAAGTCCTTGTGGACTATTTTTAGATCAACTTTGTCAGGAATCACTTTAGACCTGACCTGCAAGCGCAAAAGAAACGGAATTAGGATAAGGACATGGCAGTTGGTCAAGTGATCATTAAAATTGATCTTCAGCATCCTAACGCACTGTAGGAAGAGAATCAATGATCTTTCCCAGGGATGATGGACACATTCAGTTAGCAAGGAATATGTTCAACCTGTCGCCCATGGTGATGATGTATCTACTTCCATGTTGCTACATAGTTGCAAGGACAAATCCCTTGCAGGCCAGACTAGGAAACCCCATCTACTCACTGAGTCTTACACAATATTAAAGAAAATAAGGGTCATTCATTTTATCAAGGGAAACAAACTGAGATCAGTTTGTACTTACAAAAGACAGATTCACACACGCTGTCTTTGAGCTCACAAACCCCCTGGCAGAGCCTGAGATACACAACATTTAATGGACATGAACGCATGTTAAACATTTAAAGTTTACGTCTTATTAAATACTAATAGAGGTGGAATGAGGTGGAGGGAGTTACACTGAATGCAGGCAGCAGTGTAACAGAATGGGTGCAGTGCTCAGCATGCCAAATGTTGATACGGACCGCCTGTTGAGAGAGAGGTCAGGGACATGCATCACTGGAGAGTGTATTGAACATTTGACCATAAAATGACTTCCGTGCCTGACTGAACTACCACATACTCCATTAGGGAAAGTTCCTGTGGCGCACTGTTTCATCTTTGATGTTGGTGAGGCATGAAATATTGTCCATAAAGACTGACATAAAGAGACTGGGAGAGTGAATGCATTTGTGACTGGCTGATTTCATTGACACTGATCTGTGGACCCTGAACGGTTTATACATTGATACCTTGATTGCTGTTTTAAATTGTAGGTGAATGCAATACATATACAATTTTATACAATAGATCAATAGCCATTTGACGAACATCTTTTAATTTTAGTTTATTTAATTATGAGCTACATGATGTGGAAAAACTTCTGTTCCATAATAAAAAGCTCATGTCACCCTTGGTTGAATATTTACAGTCAAATACCAAAAACTTAAAGTAACATTACGTTCATTCAGCTTTACACAGTATGTCCGACGTCAAACAGCATCTCATATCATCATGGCACCAGCCAATGTGTGTGTGACTGCAAGATGTGGTCTTAGTTCCCGAACCTAGTTATAAAACTTAATTTTATGATGATTCATTTCTCCACACTACTAAATATGGATTAGAATACATACATTTTGACACAGTGTGACAATGCTATTATTAACATGGAAGAAGCTTTCATGCCACTGGTGCTATCTGTAGCTCCTCGGGAGTACAGCACTGTCAGATTAAGGGAATAAGGATGCAGTTCAAAAGGATCAGGAAGACACTTAGTCACATTAGGGCAGAGATTTAGAGTGGGGGGACAATAAATTAACTACACTGGCATTAGTTCTCTGTGGAAAAGTACTGTGAAATGATGCATGCATACGTGCTTCACCACCAAGATGGATCATTCTGCAGTAAATTTCCTTGACATCACAGCTGGGCAGATAGCACTGTTAGTCATAGTGGTTGTACTGTAAAACACAATGTAATACTCTTTTTAATTGTAATTGGTAAATTTACATTTTCAATTTACATTTACAATTTATCCTGAGCTCACCAAGAATCACAGTCATACATGAAAATGAAATATTTTTACAGTAGGCTACACAATAAGCGATATGTGAGTGTAAGCCCGTAACGTTACAGTAGGTGCTGATCAGACCAGAGTGGGGCAAACTTGACACACAAAACACCCAAAAAACACTGCACATTTTCCTGAGTTGTCCTAAAACAGCACATTACTCTACCCAGACCACAACAACTGTGTCAAAACACATCGGTAGCAGATCAAATATGCAACTTAAAGCTGCAGTAGGTAACTTTTATAAAAAATAACTTTATCATATTTGCTGAAAGCTGCCATTAGGAGCACTAGGAGGAGCCAGAGGAACCAGTTTTTTTCACAGATTATCTGTCTCGTGTACTGCTGTCAGGATATAGTGAAATTTTCCAAAAATCTGACAAAAAGTACAATAATAATAAGGTTAATACCAGCACATATTCTGGCATGACGAGGTTGCATTGTGAATATGTTGGATGTGACCATGAGACTCACATGACTCAAATACAATACAATAATAGAAAGTTGGGGTTCATTTGTGTCATTTTTGACCTATAGTCACACCAGAGTGTTACTTAAAATGGCTGTAATCAATATTTCTTTATCAACAATGATAACAGATAATTATCACTCCACTCTGCAGTTCCTCTTAGCTCTACAGTGCTTTTCAGCTTCTTTCAGCTCATGTCATCAGCCTTGCCTCCAGGCAGCTGTTTTCAACTAAAAGCTCTGATAAACTCTGTACACTCCCTGCTCAGCAGCAAACAGTAGACACAATTAGAGACAAGCCAGTGAACACAGCGGAGCAACTAAAGCGACGAGAAGAGTGTTTTTCTCAGGAGTTGGTGGAGACCAAAACAGAGTTTATATCTATAGCTTATATTGCATTTACATAGACATGGCACTTTGCTAATATTTTGGTCCTGTCAACTTTGATATTTGATGATATTTAATGGTACACAGGCTGCTCAATCTCATCCCATCTGTAGAGCCACATGGGTCCAGATAAAGTATCAGGTTGAGTCGGGTTGGGTTTGGGCTGTTTGCTCAAAGCTTAAGACTCGTGTCTGGGTTCGGTTATGGTTGATTGGCTATATAATTCTGGTCCAGTATGCAACTTGTACAGTGTGATGTAGAAACCTGAAGCCACCAGTGCACATCCACTGAGAATGGACTTTACAGTGAAGTAGGAGACATCTTGTGTCCAGCAGGAAAACTTTAGAAA